CCAGATATAGTGGCTCACGCCTGTAATCCTAGTGCTTTGAGAGGCTGAGGCAGGAGGAGTTTGAGACCAGCGTGGGCAACACAGTGAGACCCCATCTCTACAAAACATAAAAAAATTTAGTTGGGTATGGTGGTACATGCCTGTAGTCCCACCTACTCAGGAGGCTGAGGCAGGAGGATCATTCAAGCCCAGGAGTTTGAGCTGCAATGAGCTATAATGATGCCACTGCACTCTAGCCCAAGCAACAGAGTGAGACCCTGTCTCAAAAAAAAAAGAAAAGAAAAGAAAATGGAAAGACACCATACCAAAACTTGTGGCATGCAGCTTAAACAGGGCTTAGAGACTTCTAATATAAAACACATCACAAAAAGTTAAAAAGGTCTAAAATCAATGACCTTCTTTAAAACTCTTCCAGAAAATATGAAAGACCACTTCCCAATTCATTCTGAGGCCAGCAGCATTACCCTCATACCAAAAGACATAAGAAAACTACAGACCAATAGCCCTCATGAACATGGACACAAAATTCTTTTTGCAATTTCAAAATCAGAGACACATTCATTAGCTGACTCCTTTCTGGGAGCTGACTCCTTTCTGAATGTGGGCGCTGCTGAGGAAGCATCATTACAGTCTCTCTGCCCTCTGCCAGTGGGTCTTGTCTACGCCAGAGTCTCCTAAAGAGCCCCAACGGCTGCGGAAGCTCTTCATCGGACTGCATCGAAATGACCGATGAGTCTGAGGAGCCATTCTGAGCAACAGGGAACGCTCAAAGACTGTGTGGTAATGACAGATCCAAATGCCAAGCGCTCTGGGGGCTTTGGGTTTGTCACATATGCCACCGTGGAGGAGGTGGATACAGCAATGAATTCAAGGCCACACAAGGCAGATGGAAGAGTTGTGGAACCAAAGAGAGCTGTCTCCAGAGAGGATTCTCAAAGACCAGGTGCACACTTAACTGTGAAAAAGATCTTTGTCAGTGGCATTAAAGAAGATACTGAAGAACATCACCTAGGAGACTATTTTGAACAGTACTGGAAAACTGAAGTGATTGAAATCATGATTGACCAAGGCAGTGGCAAGACGAGGGGCTTTGCCTTTTTAACCTTTGATGATCATGATTCCACAGATAAGGCTGTCATTTAGAAATACCATACAGTGAACGGCCACAACTGTGAAGTAAGGCAAGCCCTGTCTAAGCAAGAGATGGCTGGTGCTTCATCCAGCCAAAGA